GCCCCTTCCCAAAATTACTTCAACGGAAGGTTTCCAGATGGATATGCGGAGCAAATCCATCTGCCAGAGTCAGGTTAGGAAACGGGTGTACCTGGAGAGAACCTAACCATGCAAGAGGAGATATGGAAACTCCATGTAGAAATATGCCAACCAAGACTGATTATTGCAACAGCATATCAGCTAGCTGCATCACCATTAGGCCCAGCTTTACGACTGTTTTCATATTTTCAATTGATCTTTTTTGTGCATTGAAGAAAATGCATCTGCACCCTTTAATTAGTTGAGTGGCTGCTAGAACGATATAGTTTTTTTGTTGTTTTTTTTTAAGTTGTAACTTTCTGTATAAGCCTGGTTAACTGTAACTGTATTTCTTCATTCAGATGGGCATGTTGGGTCACTTGAGGTACTGTTGTCCCCTTGAGGGATGGCAGGAACCCTGCAGGGGATATTTCCTGCCATACTGGGCTGGGGGAAATCCTCTCTTATAAGATCAGTGGGGTAATAAGGAGTTAATGAAAAACAAGGCAGACAGCAGCAGCTGCTCAGGTCCCTCTCAGATAATGCAAAACACTGGGAAATGTCGCTGTTGATCAATTTGTTTTTCACATCAAATTTTGGAAACTTGTTGCTACTCTGATAAAATGTATTTATCACTTAAAATATATTGTAAAATACAAAAAAAGCACTGTAATGGAATGTTAATGTATCTAATTTTAAAAGGCACAGAATAGATGTTAGTCTGTCAGAAATCACCATGTTAGACTCTTGTCAGCAGCTGTATTGACTTTGATCAGCTGTGCAGCTTAGATGTAAGACTGAAGGACTGAATGTTGATCTGATCAAGCTTTGGATGTTTATTTTGGATGCTAAGAATCAGGCTCCATTTTAGGAACTGACATAAAAAAAAAAATGCAAATCTGTGTCTAACTTTGCATATTTGTATGAAAGAAAGGCTCTTTTTCTTTGTGTCGCCCACCTTCCTCTTTCTGTCCCTCTCTCCACAGTAGTGTGCCTGCGCTGACTGGAAGTAAGCCATGGAGGATGGGAAGCCAGTGTGGGCGCCCCACCCCACAGACGGGTTCCAGCTGGGAATGATCGTTGACATAGGAGCCGATACGCTCACCATAGAACCACTGAACCAGAAGGGCAAGGTGGGTCGTCGCACATAAACCGACTCTCGGTTTACAAGGAAGTTTCCCTCTGGACATTCAGTGAGGAAGATCATGTGCTTTGGTTGGGGTTTCTACTCTTTAAGTCAAAAGACTCATCACTCTGCTTTTGGTCGTATTACAATCATAGATTCTCAGTTTTAAATAAATTCTGTCGGTTTTTATGCAGTTTTCCTTCAGCTGGTCTCCAGTGTGATATCAGACTGGAAGGCGTCGGTAAAACAATGTGCAGAGTGGAAGAAACACGAGAGACCACATGTACAGAAACATAAATAAGTAAAGAGTAGCAGCAGGTGTGCTGATAGTGTTGCCTGGAGAGAGGGCAGCTCATTAGGAGGTAAAGGCCACCTGTTACACCTGAGTCACCTCAGGCCCACAACAAGCAGCCGTCTGATGTTTACAGCATCTCCCACTGCAGCAGCAGCAGCTTCTTCTGTAGTCAGAAGGTTTTTTTTTTCCTATTGACTTAAAGGCTCCATGCAGGAATGGCAGTTCACTGACTGCTTTAATGATTTCTGTCTGTTTTGCTTTATATTCACAGACCAGTAAAGATTTAAATTTATATGCACAGATTTTCAATGTTTACACGTTAAATAGCTTAAAGTTTTTTGCTTTTAGTCAGTTTTAGTGAAACTGCTTGAAGAACTCAGTAGCTGCATGGCCCCTCTCACACCTATTGCCAGTCAGCTGGTAAGTAGAAGGTTATTACACCCTAGCTTAAATTATTACATACATTTAAAACACACTAAATAAAATTACATTAGGAGAACACTGATGTTTGCAAAGAGCTCAACCAATCAGTGAAAGTAAAAAAAAAACATTGTAATATCTTGGAAAATATATTGTATTATTTCATCACCAGCTGATGTTGCCTTCATGCTGGATGTAAAAGCAGTTAAGTACTTTCTTCCTTTTCATTAGATGTTGTGCTGTTGGCTCACACTATGTATGATACTTCAAAATACTAAAGTATACGGATACTTTGTCATTGTTTTATGCAAAAGAACGCATAAATTAGGGTTTTCTTAAAGCTACTCCAGACAATTCTGTGCTAAATTAATTTATTTACCCCACAAGAATGAAAGAAAAATTATAAAACGGAAATACGTTTTGTAATTCATTCATCGTTAAAGGTCAGGTTTTCTGCTTTTGTGTCGATT